GGCCATTAGTGCCCTGAATGGTTGATGGAGGGTAGGCTAACCCCAGCTCGTCCCCTTCCACCTGAATCCCTGCTCCTTTTGAGGTTATCCATCTCATCTTGCCCAGGGCCAGCAAGTCTTTCTTCAGCCCTGACCGTTCATAGATGCAAGAAGCTCCTACCAAGTTTCTTCGGCCTTAATTCTCTTGAGAGTGGAGGGAAGCAAAAAGTAGAAGTTCCTGGTTTAGTGATTCCATGAATCCACTTATTCCTAATCCCAGGGAAGCCTCATAGTGGGAATTAGTCATCACAGATGAGACAGAGTAGGGCCATGGTTAACAGTTGAAAAGGTGGCTGTCCGCTCTTGACATGAAAATTTTAGGAGGTTCATTCATCTGAGAACAGTGGTACTGCTGTATGTAAGTTGATCCACATATTAGTGACTCACTCACTGAAACTATAATAAAGCTTCTAACAGAGGTGGGTGGTGCAAAGCTTAATCGGTGGAGTAAGACATTTCTATTTCTGGAAGAGTTCAAGATTTTTTTAGTTTCATTACCTGAGCAAAATTATTGAAGATAGGTACAGTTTTCTTCCCAGCTATCTTTAGCAATAGATTGAATCGAAAGTATTCCTTCTTTTCAAAGCTATAGTGACATCACCTCAATATGATCTAAAATACAAATGATCTAATTAAAAAACAATATTAATTATGCAGTGAAAAAATAGATTACAATCAAAATGATTGTATAACACATTCATCAAGAGTTAATTCATGTCATTTTAGTGCCTATTTCTCTTTGTTGCCTGTCATTGTCTCCCCTCCAAGTAGTTTTCATCTTCCTGCCCCTTTCATTTAACTTTGAAGTCTCTTACACTTTTCAGGTTTCTTTGATGTGCCTGGCTTATTTGTAGTCCAGGCATCCTTTGGGTTGTGCCGCCTTGCACTTCTGCACAGGAGATTATAGTCTGTTTTCTCATACTGTGATACAAAAATAAAGGAACCTATGCAGACCCATTATATCTGACCATAGTACTCTTACTGAAGAAATATTGGGACTCAGAAAAACCATCCTCAAACCATTTACCTCCCCAAGACCCAGCTTACTCCAGCACATGAATGACTTCTTCCAATAACTACAAAATTATCAACCTCCCTCAGAATACCATTCTTATTGCTATGGATGTTAGCTACCTACATACCAGCATACCTCACAGTAATGACATTATTACTCAGATTTTTACAAGTTAATGGACAACACTTAACTATCCAAAACACATCCATTTCATTCTCACCTGTAACAATTTTACATTGAACAAACACATACTTGGTCCAAATCAGAGGAACAATCATGGGTATTAGGGTGACTTCCCAAATTGCTCATGTCTTCAGAAATCACCTTGAGGAAGAACTTCTGGGCAAATGCACCATGAAACCAATCCTATACCTGAGCTACACTGATGATATTTGTGGCAGATATCCTCCAGACCTTCAAAACTTTCCAACACAACCTTAGTAACTGTCCCTCCATTAAACTCTTGCTAGAACACTAACACTAGAATCTACTTCCTGGACACCATGATCAGCTTCAGCAATAGAACCTGACAGACAACAAACCTATGGATCACCATAACTACCTTAACAGATCCAGTGACCACTTGAAACACACCAAGAAATCTTACCTACAGCCAGTACCACAGAATATGCTCGTAGTAGAATGTCTGGGATATACATTTAAAACTGCCAAACAAGGACACTGCACCAGATGCATAGATTTGCATCATGGAACAGGATGCACAAACAGTACAAGGAAAATCTGTTTCAATACAGCAATGAAACCCCTTTTGACTACACACCACTAGTTCTTCTTCGAGTAGTTGCTCATGTCCATTCGAATTAGGTGTGCGCACCGCATGCACCACGTCTTCCAGAGCGTTTTCCCTAGCAGTACCCGTAGCATCAGCAAGGGCGCCCCCTGGAGTGGCGCCACCATGACAGGGCATAAGTACTCCTGCTGGCGCTCCCCCACCTCAGTTCCTTCTTACTGCCCGTGACGGTCGTTGGAGCGTGTGTCTCTGTTAGAGCAGTTAATGGTTCCCGTTTCTCTTAGTGTAGTAAATAGTTCTAAATAGTTCAGTTAGTTAGATAGTTAGTGTCTCTTTGTTTTTCTCTTCTCCTCCATCAGGGGTGAGGAATGCCAGGGCCGCAAGGTTTTAAGGCATGCGCTGTCTGCGTGAAGTTTATGCCCAAAGGAGACCCTCACAATAGTTGTCTGAAGTTTCTGGGCCATCTTACAGACGCCTGTAAGATCTGTAAGTCGTTTAAGCCGTGCACTAAGAGGGCGAGAGACTCTCGTTTAAAACTCCTCATGGAGGCGGCTTTACAGCTGGCACCGACTGGGCACGCTGCGGTGCGTAGTGCACCAGCGTCCACGTGCGCTGCTCCATCTCGAGAGCGGGCCTCGGTATCGAGGGCTCGGCACCGTTCTCACTCCCCAGCACCGAAGAGATCAAGAGCGCCCCGTGGTAGGTCTCCAAGCTGGAAATCCAAGTCAGGCCAACACCGTGGTGCCGAGTCTCCGGGACACACGTCTAAAAAACATCACTTGTGAGTGAATACATGTCAAAGCCCACCATTCTTATGTGCCCTCAGTCCTCATCCTCAAAGGAAATGTGCACAACACCTTCTAAAAGACAAACACTTAAAATCATAAAAATCATGGACTGAATAGCGACATTGGATTTATGGTTTATCACGGCACTTTAAAACCCACTTAGAAGTCTCTCCTACTTTTCCTCACACAGCCCTATTTTTGGAGAGGTTAGCAGACCACTTCACTTGACTAGTCCCTTGAAATAGTATTAACTACTGTGCTATACAAATCGCTTCCCCCTTGTATTTAGCGGAGACATGCTTACTACATTTCCCAATCTGAAGAACTCTGTGTTGGCTCAAAAATTTTTGTCTCACCAATAGGGGTTGGTCAAATAAAAGATACAGGCAGTCCCCGACTTACGTGGATCCGACTTACGTCGGATCCCTAGATACGAATGGGGTGAGGCAACTCCTGCACATGCGCAGCAGCATTCCCGGGGCTCGCTCACCTGGGTCCTAGAATCCACCTCCTCCTCTTCGGCCGGCTCCTCCC